TGATGAGCCCCTGAATTCATTCTTAACCTGTCTGCCCCTCACTTGGCCAGGCTTTGTCCCCAACACCCACTTCCTGGTTGACCTCACCTCCTTGGAGGTAACACTTTTCCCTTGAAACAAGTCCTGGAGTCAGACCAGCTCTCCATTGGGCCTTTGGTGAGCCCGTCTTGATAACTCATGCTCCGAGGACACCCAGGCCTCTCTCCTGCTCAGATGGCCATACTGATGGACTTGCAGGTTGCCGCCCTCCATGGCCGGCAGTGTCTAATTCTGGGCCAGGTTGTTCTTTGCCCACCCAGCAAGCCTGGCACACAACCCCACCAGCACCACTGCCCCTTGCCACCACTCACCAGTCACTGACTGAATCCAGTTGCTCTGGCCCTCCCCCAGCAGCTCTCAAGCCCAACCCCTTCACCCAGCCTGACCTCTCCCTGGTGCCCACCAATTCAGCCTCATCCCACACACCTGTCTCCTGCACTCTCCCTAGAGTGTAGACCCCAGCCCCCTTACCAGCCACTGGCATCTCAGCTCTGCACGTTCTGCTCCTTTTGCTTAAAGGCATTTGAATGACATTGGAAGTCAACCACCATGTGCCTTTAGGTCCATTACTAATACTCTGTGCCTCAGTTTTCCCATCCACAAATGGGGATAATCAGGGTACCCATCACATGTCTGCTGCAATCACTTTTCAGCTACTATAGGGAAAGCACTGAGAACTGCCTGGCCCAGAGTGAAGGCTAAGAGCATTTGTGCTAATTTATTTTATTATTTATTTATTATTGATTTTAGAGAGGGAGGGAGAGAAACATCCATGTGAGAGACACATATTGATTGGTTGCCTCCTGTAAACTCCCCAACCGGGGACTGAACCCGCAACCTGGGTATGTGACCTGACCAGGAATTGACCCTGAACCTTCCCATCCACAGGACAACACTCCAGCCAACTGAGCCAGGGCACATTTGTTCTCATTTAATAACTGCTCTCCATATGAGAATGGCATTCCCTGAGGACAGGGCCCAGTGCAATAACTGGAGTGCAGAACTCTGCCACATATACAATGGGTGTTCACGGTGTGTTTGCTGCCTGGCCACGCTCACCAGTCAGCCCTGAAGGGTGTGGCCCAACTCCATTTTCCATCTGCTGGGTGGGGATGGGGGATGGCTGGAATGTCACTCTCCCTTTTTTCAAACTGCTGCTGTCAGAATGCTTCTGGGTCTCCAGGGAACCAAGCCCAGCCATCTGCCAGGCTGGGGAGGACACCCCACCTTCCCTGACGCCTGGAACAGAGGTATGAACCAACTGCCTCACCTCCCTCATCACCTGCCTCAGAGCCAAGAGGGAGGTGAGAAGGGGGGGAGCAGGGCCAGAACAGGCAAAGGACCACCTGCCCTGGGACCACAGCCCCTTCTGGCACCTCAACATTTATACTTCCAGAGAACCTGAAGGGACCTTGTCCCCCAAACAGGGTAGAGAATGGCTCTCATACTGGAGGGCGCTCCCCTTTCCTGGCCCAGAATGGGCCTCCCAATCTCAAAACAACTGGGTCTAATTAAAAGGCGAGAAAAATGCAAATTCAGGATTTGCTGAGAACACACCAGCACCTAAACAGCACCTCAGCACTGGCACGTGGGCAGAAGTGGGAGCTCTGATGCTGGAGCTCTGCAGGCCTCAGGCCATGGTCCCCATCAGCTGCTGGAAGGGCTTTGGCACCAGAAGAATCCCAGGACACAGCCCTCAGAGTGGGGGTGGTAAGGGGACTTTGGCAGGGGAGAACTGTGTAGGAGCATTTCCCATGAGCCTCCTCACCCAAGGACAAGGACCTTTCCCCCAAGCAAGCCCCCAGTCTCTAGGTAATACTCTTTCCCCAGCTGCTGGATAGGATCTGTGCTCAAGAGCCACAGGTCCTGGATGGCCTGCCTGGCACCTCAGGGTCCCCTTTATACAGTGGGGCAGTGATTCTGGCCTTCAAGTGGACATGGACCTTGAGTTCCCTCTGATAACCCTGGGGGCACAGGATAGAGCCTCAGGGTTGTGCTGGCCCTGGGCACAAGGGTACCATCTCTGCTTTGGTCAGGTGCAGCCACCATCTGTCTCCAGGACCCTTGGGGTGTCAGGAGGCAGGCAACTTGATAGTGAAGGCATCCCACCTCAACCACTCTGACCCTGGGATCCAGGGATCCATCCAGGAGCTCCACCTCATGAGCCTGTAAGTGCCATGGGATAATGGAGAACCAGCTGCTGGGGGTGTTGTGAGAACTCTGAGCTAGAGTTGGGAGCCCAGGGTATCAATTTCCACTCTCACCCGAAAGTCGATGCCCACGGTGGAGATGAAGGTCCCAGCCAGGAAAGCCCCATCCTTGAAGCGCACCAGCAGGCAGGTCTTCCCTACACCTGAGTCCCCCACCAGCATGACCTGGGGTGAGCAGGAGGGGCAGAGGTGTTAGGGGCAGAGAGGACCAGGGTGCTGGTCCACTCAGAGGGGTGTCTGGTATTCCCTGAGCTGGCCTGATAAGAGAGAGGCTGTTGGTGAGGGGCAGGAGTGGAGGGGGGCATCCCAGGCCCACAGGTGGACCCCAGGACTTGGGTTCAGGACTGGCAGGGACAGCCACTATGATCCCAGCCGACCTGCACCTCCAGCTTCTACCTCTACAAGGTTCTGTCTCCTCTATCCCAGAAAGAGTCTTATCTCAATCAGTGGGGAGTGGGTGCAGCTACCTCCATCCAAGGCCCTACCTAACCCCCACCTCCAGGCCCTAGACACCTGCTTGATCTAGAAGGAAAGCATCTGAGGCTTGGTGGAGAGCAGAGCCTGGGGGGAGGTGGCTAGGGACCTCCTGGAGGCCTGTGGGGGCCTCTATGCCAGAGGGTTTCCAATCTCGGCCAGACTAAGGAGGAATGTGCCACATGAGGGTCAGATCTGGGCAGGAGGAGGGGCCCAAACCGCTCTGTGGACAGGGAGGGGCAGTCAAGCCTAACCCCTCCTCCACCCCTCCCGCACCCCTCCCCAGCCTGCTGCCAAAGGCCCCCAAAACCCAAAGATGGTCCTGCCAACCCTCAACAATTTCACAAGCTTCCGCCTTGGCCTGGAGGAGGCTCCGGTGCTCTACACCCACTGGAAAACCTCTTCTTAGTCTCCCTGCCCTCTAGAAAAGAGGAGACCCACAGACCCTGGGGGTGAGGGAAAGCAGCATATGGTAAATGATGAGATTGGGGCCTCAGCGGGGGCGGAGGCATTGAAGATCAGCGAGAGAGCACCCGGCTCTGACTTCCGCGGGACCCCTAGTCCTGACCTGCTACCTGGGGGTGGGGTAGGGAGCAGGCCTGTTGGGTATCCCAAACCCAGGTCGGACAGCTGTGTGTGTGTGTGTGTGTGTGTGTGTGTGTGCGCGCGCGCGCTCGCGCGATGCGCTGTTAGCAGCTCCAGCCATCTCCGCGCCGAGGCTTCGCAGGGCCCTGCACCCCTGCCCCGGACCCCCGCCGGATCGGCTCCGGCCAGACACCACCTGCTGCGCTCCCATGGGGGTGGGGAGTGCCCGGCTCACCTTGAAGGCAACATCGTAGAAATCGCCATAACCGCCAAGCGAGGGCAGGCCGGGCTGCGGGG